CTCTAATTTTCAAAGTTCTTATTCTTTTCGAGTCTCTTTTGATTGTTTATTCTTCAACGGATGACGATTTTAGCCTTTGAATGTTTAAAAAGATTTATTCATGAAAAACTCCAGAAACGAGACTTGTTAGAAATATAAGTGTATTGTTTGTTATAATCAAAATAAGTGGAATTATATTGAATCATAAGTCAACAATTTTTAAATCAAAGGGAAAGTCTGGTATGGACGAGAATACCCCTACTTAAAATGGTCAAAATATCTCATTTTTGTATTTGGTCAATTGAGGATTTTATAGATGGTTTTCGTTAATGTGGACTCCAGGTACATATTTATGAAAGGTTAGAGACATTCTTTAGCACAAATTGAAGGTTGGAGTAAAGTTTACAAAAATTGAAAAGGATAAATATTGTTGCTGCAATTTTCCCAAATTCACATAGAAAAGAAGTTGCTGTGCTTACTTTAAATGCACTAATTTATTATTATTATTATTTTTTAAACATAAAGTAGCAAAATGGCAAGGGATCAATAATTTGTTCTATATTGCTTTTGTCTATGAGTGTGTTTTGACTCCTATAGTAGATAAGGAATCACCTTATAAACAAGATTTTAAAGGATTTAAGTATTTGCTGACCACTCAAAGATTTTTAAGTGCTTTAGTTTATGTTTAGGAATTTTCATAGTTTAGAGTGAATATTGGTATTTAATATTTATAGTTTCTTGGTTCTAGCAAAAAAGTTATAGTTAGTTCTTTCTAGACGTGACATGCCTCGTATTGCATTTTTGTACTAAGTCACAAGTTTAGGTAAGTATTTGCTATTTGGCCTTCTATGTCGAGAAACATATGCTAGTTGGGCTTTCATGTCGGGTTTTGAATTTTATTGAGGTCAATGTTTGCTATGTCAAGTGTAATAAGCTAGATTTACATGTTTCTTTTTGCTTTGATGAATTATGTTTTATCTTCTAGTGGTGGCGAAAGCAATCATGAGCAGTACTCCAATGATCGAGTCAGTCGAAGATATAAAAAATGGCGGAACATTCCGAAAGCAGGAACCGCCGAAAAATCGATATAACGGTGATATGAAGAGTGCAAATAGATCTATATTGGTTGGAGTTGCATTACCTTTAAAGTGACACTAAATGTCAGTATATATAGGGAAAGAAATGGATTTTGGACCGTTAGATGGAGGGGCACGTGACCTCATCTGCTGACCGAAATGTCTCCTCCTATGTATCAAACAAACTGTCCTTATGTGTGGGCGAAAATCTGTTTCCCTCTAACAAGTAGATTCATGACTTAACTCTTTGGTGTCTTCTGCACAAATCTCAAATCAATCAATCGTATGAAGATTATATTTTAGATAGATTTTTGTATAAAAGATCTTCATATTAATAGAGATGAGGTGACATGACTATTTCAGCAGCATGTGTTGTTTCCTCCCATACCACTTCAACGTACATCACTTTGACGCATATCACTTTGATGCCTCGATCGATTCCACTTCACCTCGACACTTCAACACCTCGGTGGCGTGGCATGACATGGAGTGCGGATCTTGTTGATTTGATTAGCTGGTTGCCACATTGATGATGATTTGGGGCCCCTCTTCATGAGAGACGTAACAGATTCAAAATTCGATAATTCATTTTTTCCCTTACTATCACAAGAGTCTTCACTCTTGGCATCCTGGGATGAATCCATTATACTATCAACCAAAGAACAACAACCCAAGGGCACAGCAACAACACGGGGATTTTTTTTTATTTTTATTTTTAAAAAAGCATATTAAAAACATAAATGGAGGCTGCCCCTATCGCCGCCTCTGTATCAACAATTAAGATAGAACAATATAAAAGTATGTTCGTCATGCTAATCGACACCCTTTTTGACTAAATTCGGTAGTGGAAACTTCAAATACCGCAAAAAATTAATGTTTAGTCCAGAAACAAAATATCACAATAAAGAAAAAACAACTGAAAACCCAAATTGTCTCTAACGATAGTTTTAAAACTTGTGAGTGCCAATTTCTCGAAAAGACAAGACTTGAGTTGGTTTTCTCAGCACGATCAAATCACTTCAAATATATCCCATAACAACGAACAACAGTGTCTTTGTTCTGAAAGAATTTAAGATTGACTATATGAACTTTCATCACTTCGCCTGATTTATTGCTAAAATATATGTTATCGTGAACATTTTCAATTTCCTGAGGAAAATTAATCTCACTGAATCCAAACACATTAAAAGGCCACTCTTCATTAAATTATAAGTTAATGTAGCACATTTACAATCCAAATTAACCCCAATTTCCATATTCTATAACAGAAAAGCAAAAACCCAAAAAAGAAAAAGGTTATTAAACATACTTGTAATATCAGATCTGCTTCTTTAGACTCTAAGCAAGTAAACACTAAGCTCAGGAGCCCCATTATTATCAGGATTCATCATATAAAATGCCTCTGAATCTCTAGACCCTAAAACTCTTTCAAATTTAGCCCTCATATACATGATTTCACCATCAGATTCTGCACCAAATTCTCCATTATTTTCTGCAGGCAAAACTCCTGCCCCCATTGAAATTGGCTCCACGGCTTTCAATATTTTCCGGTCTTTTTCCCCACATTCTCTCCTTGTTGCAAATCCATATTTCTTCCCATTGCAGTATGTCCTCCACAGGGGTTCTTCCAGGAGCCTCATTGGTTTCTTCTCTGGCTCCCTGTCGCATTCCAGGGCTATACGAACTAGGCCGGATGCCATTTCCCGGACAAGGCCTGAGATTGGAGTGGCCAGTTCAATCAAGAAAGCTGGTTCTGAACTGGGATTCTTCTGGAACACAAAATGGACATGTCCACGTCTGTGCCCGAATAGGGTGCCCACTACTCGGGATCCAAGTGCTTGTTGGCCGTCAGCACGGGCTGGGGTTTTTCCGAACGCTGTCATGACGAACCGCAGCCTGGAGATCGCAATGTTTTGCAGTTTCTTCCTTGTTGCCACCAGCCCTGGAGGACCTGCTGGTTCGCGTGTTACAGTGTCGTTTTCCTTTTTCTCGTCCCGGACGGAAGACTTGAAGCTCGGAACTTGAACGGTTTCCCTTTTCTCATCCAGGATGGAAGACTTGAAATTTGGAACTTGTAGGGGCGTCTCTTGATTGCGTGTGGCGGCGTAGTTTTCCTTCTTCTCGTCGGGGACAGGAGACTCGACGGCTTGAACTTGTGGGGAGTTCTCTTCTTTCTCTTGATCACCAGGGTTTGAAGAGTACAAGGTTGGAGATGTATCATCTTCACTGGTGACCTTTGTTGTCCAGTGGAAATGCCTCTTAGAGGACATGTCCTGGTTACTCTTTGCCATGATTATCTTCATCTGTGAAAGGAAGTTATATTGGATGGCAACTCTTTAAAATGTAGCTGAGTAGGGACAAGATTCCCCTTTGTTTCTTTTTATCCTTTTCTGAATAATACCAAACAACATTAAAACAATAAAATGCTAAAATCTTACTTTAAAAAAAAAAATCAAATAGGCCCTTTATTTTAGTCGATTTATCATTAAATTTTCATAGATCTAAACAGACTCCCACTCATAGAGTCACGTTATTCAGTACAACAAGTTAGAAGAGGGAGGGATATATCAAAACTAATATAGTTTGTTATGATCGCTTTAAATCTTACAGGATTAACAATGAAATGAACGAAGTGGAAAAAATGATTAACATAGTCTACCCAAAATTTGAATAAAGAAAAGAAAAACAAGCTACCCCACAGACAAAGGAGTGGGAAAAAATGAAAACAGGTACAGGAAGATAAAGAGTAAAGACATAAACAGAGAATGTTTTATTTTTTGAAATAAAGAAGGGAATCTGTGGAGACATAATTTGGGTTATTTCACTTTCTTGTGGGACAGGGAATTAAAGGGAAATGCTTTGAGGCAGGGAAGTGAGTGAAAGGAGTTTCTTGACCATCTTTATTGACTCAAATCCAATGTTGATATGCCCTACTTATAATTGAAAGTTACACTCATGAGTGATTAATTTTCAAATGAATAGTGTATACATAATTGTGTCATGATCAAATGATATAGGATTCCGATCCTCTTGTTCGATCACAAAAATTGAAAATCAAGTAGAGAACTAGTCTCTTACATGACAAAAAATTGAATATTTAAAAATCATAAAAGAAACAAAGGAATCGACAGATTGACCATGAATCAAAATCAATTTTATAATTAAAGGTTCCATTTTTTTAAAAGGCCTAACAAAAGTTATTAATTTTTTCACATATAATTCAGTCCATGTTCGACTCATAAAATCTGAACAACTGTCTTTTGTTGAGTCAATGCTTAAACGGGTTTCTAAAATATTATTAAGGGTTATTGGCGCGAAACGT